ATCTAGCGATGAACAAGAACAAGACAAAGTACCTACTGGCAACACACAAAAAATCTTTGCGGACACACGTCACTGTTAGCAGTGATAACTTTGAAATAGTGAAGGACTTTGTTTACTTAGGATCCAGCTTAATATCGCGAAGAAAACTCTTGCCAACAGGTGCTACTTTGCGCTCGGTAGGTAATAGAAAAGCAAAGCCCTATCTGGACGAACAAAACTCGCGCTCTATAAATCTCTCATCATTCCCGTCATTTTATATGGTGCAGAAATATGGACGATGCCTAACTAAGCCGAGAAGGTTTTGTGCCTTTGAGAGAACTATTATACGCAAAATCTATTAGCCCGGTTCGCGTGGGCGACGAGTACCGAAGCGTATGAAAATACAACGATTGCTCTGGCTTGCACATGTTCTGCGCATAGATGACGATGCACAGTGTTTCGACTATACTATGGAGGTAGGAAGAAATAATAGTACACCAGCACCGATTTCACCGAAACTTGACATGTGCTCTAGTTTTACTTAGAAATAGAGGATTATTAAAGTTTGTAAAGATGGAATAATTGCCACGCCCTCTACTCTTGTGGGCGGAAACATTAAATTTTATCCGATTTCGATGAAATTTAGTTTGTGCTCTCTTTTATTAGAAAAACCTAATTATAAAATATGGGGAACATTGGATCAATACGACGTCCAAAACTCACAAAAAATGTGGCCCCAGTCATTATCATGTCATGTGATGGAATTTTGGTTAATTTCTGTTCTCTGCTTTCCACTCACAGAAAGCAAAGGTTATACTATAAAATGACTCAGGTGTAAATGCTCGCTTTTCTCTCAATGTTTGGTGAGATTTTTTCATTGTTCGAAAATTCTTTTCACGAAATTATGCAAAAAGAAGCTGAAAATAAAAATTTAAGAAAAAAAAATTACATATATTTGCAAAGTCACACGCAAAGATCAAATTATATACNCCTATCTGGACGAACAAAACTCGCGCTCTATAAATCTGTCATCATTCCCGTCATTTTATATGGTGCAGAAATATGGACGATGCCTAACTAAGCCGAGAAGCTTTTGTGCCTTTGAGAGAACTATTATACGCAAAATCTATTAGCCCGGTTCGCGTGGGCGACGAGTACCGAAGCGTATGAAAATACAACGATTGCACTGGCTTGCACATGTTCTGCGCATAGATGACGATGCACAGTGTTTCGACTATACTATGGAGGTAGGTAGAAATAATAGTACACCAGCACCGTTTTCACCGAAACTTGACATGTGCTCTAGTTTTACTTAGAAATAGAGAATTTCCCGTAGTTTTTTTTTTGGAAATGTAGCGTTCGGGAAGAATGGGGTGAGTAAATAATGTGAAATGTAGTATTTGCGACTTTTACTTTTCTCTCTCTAAGTCTAACCGTTTTTTTTTTACCAATTGTCTCCATGACTTTTTACTATCCGCCTCCATATAGTCGAAACACTGTGCGCCGTTAGCTAGGGTTANAAATTACATATATTTGCAAAGTCACACGCAAAGATCAAATTATATACTCTAATAGCCTTATTCATAAAAAATAAAGTAGCTTTATAAAAGGTTTATAAATTGAAAAATGTATGAAAACGTCACTTTATAAAGCTCTTTAACCCTACTTTATTTTTTATGAATAAGGCCATAAAACTATATAAAATTCTCAAAAAAATATTTGTCTAATTTCAAGACCTGACGGATCGGTACTCACACTTTTTTTTTAACTAATAATCTTTAGCATCTACATTTCAAAGCAATAAATAAATGACAAATACCTTCGCCTGAATATTCCACGATGNACACCAGCACCGTTTTCACCGAAACTTGACATGTGCTCTAGTTTTACTTAGAAATAGAGAATTTCCCGTAGTTTTTTTTTTGGAAATGTAGCGTTCGGGAAGAATGGGGTGAGTAAATAATGTGAAATGTAGTATTTGCGACTTTTACTTTTCCCTCTCTAAGTCCAACCCGTTTTTTTTTTACCAATTGTCTCCATGACTTTTTTCTATCCGCCTCCATATAGTCGAAACACTGTGCGCCGTTAGCTAGGGTTAACAACATTCGTGATTTGGGTATTGTTTTTGATGCATCTTTCACGTTTACTGAACATCTCAATTTTGTAATTCCTAAAGCCTTTTCGTTGCTAGCCTTTATTAAACGGAATAGTTCGGAGTTTAAGGACCCATATATTAGGAAACTATTGTACAACTCCTTGGTATGATCTAGACTTGAATATGGTTCCATAATATAGAGTCCCTATACGAACTTCATAATAAAAGAATTGAACAGGTTCAAAAAACTATTCTGAAATATTGTCTATCTGATCTTAAATTCGACTTGCCCCTACCTCCTTATGATTCCAGCTGTAAATTAATTAATTTACACACATTCCAGAGCAGAAGAGTAATATCGACAATTACTTTTATTAATGATATTGTTAATGGCTACATTGATTGTCAAATACTCTTAGAGTTTTTGAACTTTAATGTGCCGCCTAAGAATCTGCGCCGGCAAAATATGTTTGCCATTGATAATTTTAAGTCCAAGTATGCATTGAATGGGCCAATCACACGCACGCTAATTGATATTAATAATTTTGCCTTAACTTGGCTTTGATTTAAGAATGTTTTATTTTCCTTGTTGTAAGTTAATTTGTTGAATTGTATTAGACACATTTTTTTAACTAGTCTATTAGATTCTTGTTAATCATAGACTGAATAAAGAAATACGAAATACGAAATATACCCGCAGGCAGCATTATGGAAGTCTGCATGCCAAAGAATTCACTAAGAGTAACCTGCTTAGACTCAATAGCCCTTTCGATCTTATATGTCAGACGATTTAGTAAATTCTTACTTTCCTAAATTTTTCCTATATTTAAACTTACATATGATTCGATCATATAGTGGACATAGGCAGGTTTGATATGTATTGACTCAAATGCCACAATCTGCAAGAGTAGAGCACAATAGTCACCTTTGAATAAATCGTTAATATTAAATATTTTTCTTTCATTTTATCGACATTAATTTGTCACATTGCTTTAGTTTAAACTATTTATTTGTTCGGTCAGTGTGTCACTGTGTTCAGAAATGCATCAAGCCAAAGCATCAGTCTATTCTATTTCTAAACTATAATATATGGAAATGGCCAATATGCGCAACCACGGTTAAATGCCGAATTGGAAATTGCATAGTTGCGCAAATAAGCCACAACCCCTGTATTGCACCAAATATATGGACAAATTTGGTATGTACCGACTCGCATTAAATAATAAAAAGTCCTTATTTTTGGCACATTATGAGACTTTTAGGCACAAATTATAAAGCTCATTAGGCACGTTCAATTCTTCTCCAAAATCAACACTAATATATTTATGTATGTATGTCCCTCCCATGATGCAATAATACAAGGTGTTATCGGCTGGTAACTTCTCGCTCTAATTCCGCCATATTGACTGCCTTAGGTGAAACAGTGTTACTCCTTTAACAATTCTTTGCCTAATAATATAGCTTATTTTTTTAATTTTTTCTCAGTATACACATTTTGCTTTCTCGAAAAGGTATTATATCTTATTTTATTTCATTTCATTGCGAATATACTATAAAAAACAATTTTTTTTTAGAAGAAAATATGAAATTTTATATTTTTCCCCCAAAAGGGGATTCATTACTTCCCGTTTTTCTTCTTATTCTACTGAGCTAAGGTAGTGTCAAATCGAGCTGTCATAACTGATACCACCTTGTATTATTACATCATGTGTCCCTAACACCTCGCCTGCTGATGGCAAACGGCCGAAACTCTCGTAAAAACTATTTGACCTAATTCCATTTTTCTAGCAGTATCAATTCGAAAACTAAAAATTACAGGAAATTTCNTCTAAACTATAATATATGGAAATGGCCAATATGCGCAACCACGGTTAAATGCCGAATTGGAAATTGCATAGTTGCGCAAATAAGCCACAACCCCTGTATTGCACCAAATATATGGACAAATTTGGTATGTACCGACTCGCATTAAATAATAAAAAGTCCTTATTTTTGGCACATTATGAGACTTTTAGGCACAAATTATAAAGCTCATTAGGCACGTTCAAATCTTCTCCAAAATCAACACTAATATACTTATGTATGTATGTCCCTCCCATGATGCAATAATACAAGGCAGGGATGGGCGAAATCAAGAAAATGAATAATTGAATAAAAAAAAA